TCAACAAGTTATTACTCTTTTTTGGAGGGGGTGGTGGGGGTCGGCGTGGAGGGGGTGGGGGAGGGGGTGGCTGGGGACGTTTTGTGGTTGGTGGGACTTTAATAACTGGCGCGGGTGTAGCGGGCAAAATAAACGTGTCCGGAACTTTCGGTTTCACCGGCAGGACGTCCTTTGGATTTACTGGCGGATTAATGACACCTGGGTACGTAGATTCAATATCTTTAGGAACAACAAGCACGGGAGATGGCGTGGCAGAGGGAATGTATCCCGGAAGTGTTGGAATGACGTCATCCACTGGGAAGAAGTCACCTGGTTGTAAAGGTTTCTTACCGCCCGTAACAGGCGGTATTTTTTTCTCACCCGGCACCTTAATGACTGGGGACGGAGTGGCAGCTGGTATGTATCCTGGAACCTCGGGTTCGGGTATGACGTCACCGACAGGAATGGCGTCACCAGGCTGTGGTCCTTGAGGACCTAGAGGGATACCCGGTAAGATAGGTTCGGGCTCGGGTACAGGATTTCCAGAATTAACTCCAGGATCGTTCGGAAATACTAAGTTTGGAGAAGGTGTAGCAGATGGTATATAATCAGGTACAACGGGTATAACGGGAATGACGTCACCAGGCTTCAGTCCGTTTTCGTTTACAGGCACCAGTTCACTTGGATGAACCTCATTCATGTGTTGTCTCAACAGTTCTCGCAGTCGTTGGTTCTGCTTCCTCAACCTTCTCACTCTCTTTCGCTCCCTCAACCACGCGGCGCGGTTCTCAGCTGGATTCCAATCTTTCTGGCTTTTGTCAGCGTTGAAGTCGATGGCGGGAAAAACAGCTGTCTCTCCTGTCACAGGGTCAAGTACAGATAAAATGTCATGTGTGTCGTTACCGTGCAGTGTTGCGGGAAAGTCGTGAAAAGTTCCATCAGTGTGAAGATGACCCCGCCTGTGGTCCACAACGTCTCCTGGAGACACGCCAGTAACAGGCCTGGCATTAGAAAATTCCGGAAGTCCAGTTATTGGGTTTATTCTGTGGATACCATCCTCTGGATGAATGATTGGTCTATCGTTGATCTGACGCCTAGGACTTATCGCGTCTGATGGAAGAACTTCCAACCCAACTAATTCTGACCCGTCTATAGGGCGAATGTCAATAGGGTTAGTAGGTCGATTTTCCAGGTTTACGTTGACGGGATCAACCGGATTTATAAAATCCGTCGGTCGATTATCTATTGGATTAACGGCTTCATTTACTTGCTTTACGTCGCTTGGGCTTATTGGTCCACTTATTTCTTCCTGTACGACAACATTGTTTGGAACTTTGTCTTTTACACTTCCAATATCTTTCTGTTGTTTTTCATTTGTATTTTTTATATTTTTGGGAACTTGAACATTATCATTGATTTTTTCTGTTTGGGTTTTTATTTCCTTTGTTGTGACGTCAGATGGCGGAATTGGAGACTCTTTCTTAACTGATTTTCTAGTATTGAATGCTCCTTCCAGTAAACTTTTACCAAAATTCAATATTTGTGATAAGCCATTCGAAGAGTCTCCGGGAGAATTCAAACTCTGAACTTGACTCAGAATTTGTTGTGGTGAAAGTCCAGCTCCTGGCTGGGAGGTACTGTTTAACAGAAGCGAGGCTATAGTGTCGATTCCGGAAGCTTGATTTGGTGCGGGGTTCATTACACTAACGCTATTTCGTCGCGCCATCTGTCGGGCGTTTTGGTCAAAGAAAGGTGGACTCGGCTGTCGCCATGGCTGTCCCCAGCTGTCAGGCTGCCTGGAGGGTGGGTTTCTACTGGAGAACCTCCGAGCAGTGAGGGGCTGCATTCTGTTAGATACTGGGGAAGGAAACTGTCGACGAAATGATTGAGGTCCCCATGGGTCTTGGAATCCTCCGGGAAAGGGTGCAAATTGCCCCGACACACCTAAAATACAGAAAAATAAAGAATATTATAAACGTATGACAACAAACCTTAAACACTCAGAATAATAAACTATTTTTCTCCATTTTTTCTCCATAGCGTAAAAAATACAAGATTTAAAAAGGATTTCAAAGTCATCAGCTCACAATAACACAATTTCATGAAAAATAAAATCTTTTCTCTTCTATATGCTTATTTATTTATTTATTTATTTATTTATTTATTTATTTATTTATTTATCTAAATTTCTATTGCATTAAAAAAAGAACATGCCATTAAACATTGTATACTCGTTAATTTTCATTCGTCCGTTTTATCAACATGATCCAGTGTGTTCAATTATTTAAAAACATGTTTTTGAATTCCCGTTAAATAAAAATAAGGTTACAGATATGGAACTCGTCAATATTTTCCCCTCTGCATTACGTCAATATTTGTTAGAAATATATAGAACTTAAGATATAGAATAATGTAAAGAGAAAAAGATGCACAGCTGAGTTTGGTGCGATATATACACTATGAATAAACAAATCGGATGGGATAAAACATACTATGTATAATTAATGTTTTAGACGAAATGGGAATTAAAATTTAATATTGTGCATGAACCATTCTGATTTTTATTTTCTTATTTTATTTTATTTTATTATTATTTTTTTCTTTGCATTAAAACTAGAAAATAATTTAAGACATTTCATAGTTTTAATTAAAGAAGTGTTATTAATAAAATATTCTGCATATCAAATAAAAATTGGAGCGTTTGTGATCATATATATATATATATATATATATATATATATATATATATATATATATATATATATATATATATATATATATATATATATATATAAAATTACCATTTATTGTCATCTCTAGAATTGCCAGGGATGTCATTACTGTGTGGAGCGCCATCTGTCTGCTGCAACAGAAATCAGAAGGACATAGTAGATCGAGAATGTTTACAAAGAATTCTAAGTATTTTCTCTATTGGTAAAATTAAAATAGCCAAAGGACTAAACTCAATTACGAAAACGAGAAAGAATATTAAGGTACATGCCCCGCAAAAAGTTTTTTTTTTTTTTTTTTTTTTTTGGTTGAAAAAATGACCTTACGACGTTTACAAAACTTTTTTTTTAAATAGAATACTGGTATAAAAATAGGTCATTGATGTGAAGTCACGATTTGAGAATAAACGGATCGAGAAAATTGTCTTCATCGATGCTTAAATTGATTGTTTAGAGTTATTTTATTGATTAACTTTTATATTTAAAAAAAATCATTGCAAAAATATATGCTTTAAATGAATATTGTAGTAAAATCATATTTGAAATGCAACAGAAATTGGCTTACCATGCTTTGATCATAGTTTATCCTTCAGTGAATAATACACAAATATTCTCTCAACATTAAATCCCAAATTTACGAAAAGTCGTCCATTGTCTGCCAATATATGACCGAAGGACTCATGCGCGACATGACAGACGACATTTACGACTTGGTGGTGGTGACGTCACAATTTAACGCACGCTGCAGACCACTGTCAATACAAAGTGTAATGGACAAATAGACACACGTATTTGATTGGTCAACATGGGTCAATGATTAGTATTACTGTACAATAGGTCGACTTACTTGCTTTAAAATACATCGGACAAATATTTCTTTTTATATATAAACTGAACTGAATTCTGAAGCCATGACGGATATTCCCTTTGTTTGTGTGACTTTGGTCAATTCATTATGTTTCGTGTTTATTTGTCCTCATTTAAGTTCATGGTCGACGCCATTTTCGAAACTTTGGCGCCATAAAAAAAGGTGCTAACCTTTTGAACTCATCAACATATCTTAGTAATTCATTTCATTCTAAGCTAATACTGTTGTCGGTTACAGAATTACTATTTTTTTCCTTTCTTATTTTGGATGGAAACATTTTGGAAATATTGTGACCAGAGTTATCATCTACTTCCGGTTCCTTATTCTATACCTTTGTCAAAAGAGAGGGAACAACGCTTTTCTGGAATTAAAATCGCCTTTGCATACTGTGCTACATACATTTTTAATACCTACTTTACCAGGAGACGAGAACGTCCTATATAATATTTAATAAAACTTCTTTTCTGCAGACCTACAAGTGAGTCTTTTCTGTTCAATTGGTACTAATTTGGGTATCTTTTAACTGTGTTTTAATATTAACCGAATTTGTTTTCGATGTTGACTTTCCCAATTTGTTCTTGTATTTCCGTCAAAAAATTTAACAATGAGTAAGAATAGCAGCGTAGCTTTGAACATGTTCTTGACTGCAGACATGAATTTTGCAGACACATTGCGGCCCAATGTTTCTCGACAGATCAATTAGATCTCTGTTCCTTTTGTAAAACAAAACTAAGTTAATCTTCACGTTGAATTTTTTAAGATTCAAAAATTGCGATTCATTTGAAAATCATTTGCACGTGTTGATAGGCGCTACTCTGCATGCATGCCAATCTTTGTTAAAAATAATCTTGAAGACTATTAACGCCATGAAAATTACTCTAGCTCCTGCTGGATGTATAATTCAAATATCAATTTCAATAAAGTAAAATTCAATATTAATTCTTATATGTTGAAGTTTTTGCGTCGTTGCATATGTATTTGCAAGCGCCCTCTGAACTAAGGTACAAAGACTTTACTGTTCTCTTCATTTTTATTCGTCTATTGGTTTAATTGTTACTCAACGAAACAGTAGCCAGAGTTTTAAACTATTTTAAAATATATTGGCTTTATTTGAAAAATTCGAAGATTGAAACTTTCCTTTGGGTCAGGGACATACTTAAAAAGTCAAATGAAAAACAAACAAGAGTCAATATCAGTAACAATGTTTCTTAATAAACACTTTGTAGATAAATAAAATAAATGTGTGCATGCAGTACATGTATAACCCATGAACGTGATGCAGGATTTCACTCGAGTGTTCCAAGTCAAGTCAATAGTCTCCTCCAGAATTTACTTTGCTATTTTTTAATTTCATCTTCTGCGCCGTTGCGTGTGTGACTTGTGCGCAGTGCTCTACTTGAAGCACCCCCGGTATATATATCCCTGCCGAGACCCATCGTCAGAATTCCAGCATTTAGATTGTGTAACGTTCACTTCAGCCTAAAAGCAGATCTTCAAAAATGGTAAGAAACTTCACTGTAAATTTACTAACATTTCATTTTAAAATAGGCACTAAGTAATACAACACAGCAATTTCAATTGACAAGTACACTTAAAAAAATTCTAAGCAAGAATGTTTATAACAAAAAAAATTACTTAAAAGATGTTTTTATTTCCACTTTCACGAAAAAATCGAATAAAGACGATTCGACCATTTGGCTATATGCAAAATATTCCTTGTAATAATTTAGTGGAAAAATTTTATTTTTGAAAGAACCTGTTTCTCGTCGGTAAACAAAACAAATTAAGCCTTTTGATCTGCCTAAAATTACAATGGTTTCGCTTACTCGTTAGCATTGTTACTTTTCAGTCCAAACTTTCCAAAGAAGAAATTGAAGGTATGGAGAGTTGTGTGTTACCCCCCCCCCCCCTTTACTGTTCTTTTAATTAACAGCATGGGTTAATTAATTTTTGCAGAAACCTAGAAATCTCATCCTGTGTTGTGCAGTGCAAGTTTAATTTGATAAATTCCACTCTCGATTGGGTGCATACGAGAGTTTAACACTGATGTCAAAATGATTCCGACAGGCAGTATAATGGAGATAGGAAAAAGGGGGGAGGGAGGAGGGTACGTCAGTGATTATTAATGAACTTGTGGCTTTTCTCAATATTTGATAAGATATTAAAAATCAATTTATTAAAATCGAAAGGAATAACGTAATAAAACTTTGCTACATGTACTAATATATAATTCGTTTGAATATTGGAAAAATGAAGAGCTTTTGGTTTAAAAGAAAAGGGAAAATGAACAATGTACGTCTTACAATTTCAACCCCATTTTCTTTTTCCTAAAAAAAAAAAATGGTTACAGAGACACGGATTAATTACGGCTAGCGTTGTTTTCTGACATTCCTTGGCAAAAGTTCAAATTCATCAGTTTCTTCTTATCTTTTGCATTAAATTTTGCTGTATGGATTCTGACTAAAATTGCACAAGGAGAATGTACCTACGCACCGCGCTCGCAGGCACGCGCCTTGTGTATACCAGTATCTTGACAGGATCAATGTCAATCAGGGAGGGAGCTTTAATTCGATGTGACGTTATCGGAGGGATCTTACATAATTCCATGGAAGATGATTCTTTACGTGGCTTTGTCTACAATAAGACATTATTTTTATCTTTTTCAAAGGAAATATATCGTGTCTCCTTTCGAATGCAGTTCTTACCCAAATGAATAATATTACATCTATTTAAATTTTTTAGGAATGCAAAACATTTAAATTTAGTTATCTATATACATTAAGCTACAGCACATAAGCACTTTTTGTTGCCATGGATACCAATGTTCAAGGGTTGAGTTAGAGCGGAAATAGATGAAGGCAGACAGACACCAGCTGCTTATTTTTAAAAACGAACTGTGAAAACGTCATTAAATATAATATTCTCCTCGATACTGTAACCTCTTCCACCTCTCCGATAACACAATAGATAAAATTAGATAGGTCATTATATTATGACATGTAACATTACATGAAGTATATCATTTTTTTTTACTAGTTTGATTTGTAAATAGGAAGACATACATGAATACATGCACTATTTTTGTGCTCGAACATTCAGGGATATAATTAAGACTTTTGAAAATGAAACATAAAACTTGCTGTTTTAACTGTTTATATGCTGTAAAAGGCAATCTCTGCCCAGAGTTATCGTACCCGCTACGTAGCGAAGCGTAATACGCCCTCTGGTGAGAGATTGTGTAAAAGGATGTATAACTATAACGCATGTTGACATGTTGCAAACCCGCCTCTGTCGATTTCTTAGAAGTTATTTATAGAGTCCCTAACGGATTGAATTCCCTAGATTATCGTTTGTTTAGTAAATGCTGTAGAATGGTTTTTGCTTTTTGGTTTGGCTTGTTAATGATAAATAGGAATTTGAAACTTTAGATGTTTCGCAGAGTATCGAAACATGATCAGCAGCGAATCATATTAATCACCCGTTTAATAAGTGAATGCGTTTTGTTACCTTAGTTGCTGTGTTTTGACATGTGTTCTTCAATTTTTGTGTGCTCATATGGACAAATCACCAACCAACTTCGGGGTGGGGGGGAGGGGGGGGGACTAGCCAATCATGAAGACATGAAGAGAAAAATGGCCTATCGCCATGTTCACTTTAGCCTTCACTTTAGCCTTCACTTTTGACTTACGACGGGTATCTATTTCTCTTAAGATTTAAGGTCGATTTTAAGATTAATGTAAGATTAACATTAGATATAAGAGATTAAGTCTTACGATAAGAAAGTTTTGTAAAATAGGCATCTAAATATCAATTATCTGAGACTCCCCCCCCCCCCTCCTACACCCCGGTCACGTACCTGTTTTTACCCCGATACCACGTACCTGTTTTTACCCCGATACCCCGTATTTGTTTTTACCCCGATACCCCGATACCACGTATTTGTTTTTACCCCGATACCACGTGCCTGTTTTTACCCCGATACCACGTGCCTGTTTTAGCCCGATACTAGGTGCATGCCTTTATTACTGATTTAAAAGCGCCTGTACTTCACTTCTACAGGAAACTGTTTGTTTTCCTTAAATTCTTTCTGTTTGCATTCAATGCAAGCCAATTTTCTCTTAATGATCTGTAAACAAGCAAAACAAAAACAACAACCAAAAAAGCGGTATCTACCGACACAGACTTTCGATACTGCAAAATACTGGCTTTCGACTGTGATACTTCTATTGAAAATTGATAGTTTAACAAAAAATAAGTAGATCCAAACGATTTTTCAATCATAATCAAACCACAAAATATATCCTTTAGATTCACCACTAGATAACCTGTACACATGCGAACATGATACGTGTGTGCATAAGTAACCCCCAAAACAAGTCTTTATGAATTACAGCAAAGGATAATCGCGGAATATTTTCTAAGGAGGGGAAATTCTGCAAGGAAAAAAGAGGAATGGTGACAGTGTTAAGGGAAACGGCATAAGTTACCTGGTTTATGTACAAACATATATTCATAAAGTTTTAAAAGGAATTACCTCTTCTTAAAGGACGGGGTGTGGGGTGATTAACACCCCCCCCCCCCAACCACCCACGCTGGCTTGCTAAATATACCCGTGCAGTGAACCCGATCTTACAGCCCATTGCTCAGTTTGTTCATAAGGTTCACCTTTATTTTATTCCTGCATTTCAGAGGCCAAGGAAGTGTTCGATCTTTTTGACTTCTGGGACGGTCGTGACGGAGTGGTTGATGCTGCCGCCATTGGTGACGTCATCAGATGTGTGGGTCTGAACCCAACCTTGGAAATCGTCAAAAAGAATGGCGGCACATCCAAAATGGGTAAGCTAATGGTTATTATAATAATAAATATTTAGACTCCTGAGAAAAAGTTTATTTTTGCGATAGATTTTAACAAAGATTAATCAATTTTCGAAGTTAAAAAACAATATGCACTGCCAATAAAATGACTAATGATTTTAACTGTTTAAACTTTATATAATGATCAATGATCTAGTTCTCGACGATTAAAATGTTTGCCTGCTCTTTTTACATACTTAGTGCGTTATTAATTTCAGGTGAAAAATCTTACAAATTCGAAGAGTTCCTGCCGATCTTCGAGACTGTCATGAACACCTTAGAACAGGGAACCTTCGCGGACTACATGGAGGCCTTCAAAACTTTCGACAGGGAGGGGCAAGGTTACATTTCTGGTGCTGAGCTTCGACACCTCCTCTCCTCACTTGGTAAGCCCCCCCCCCCCCCCCCCTCGCGAAATATGATTAAGGACCCCTCTTATACACTGCACACTGAAGAATTCCAAGTTTCAAGTTTTTTTTAAGTTTCAAGTTTTTATTTAAGACAAAGACCCCAACTGGGGTATATGAATGCAAATGATGCAACAAAATAACATACAAGCATGAAATGAGTGGCACTAATGTTAATTACTATATACATGTATAGTTCAAAACATCAAACTATAGAAGGCCTCTGCTAGTATTAAATAAATCTACATGTATTACAAAAATATATCAATTCTGTGGAGAGTTTTTTTTAGAGTAAGAGTGATCTGACCTAAGTCTATAATAAATGAATTTACCTCTTTCTTTCATACACTGCATTTATTTACTTAATTATTTAATTTGTAATCAATTCATGCACCTATAATAATTAAATACTTTATTTGCATGCACTTTCTGTAATCAAATAAGCATCATGGATTTCTTTACATCAATAATTGTTGTCTTTAAACATTTCCCTTGTGTAAATGGCTCGTACTCTTTGTTGAAATGAAGTAGATAAACTCAATATTAACGATTTTATACCACATGTATATAGAGCTTTATATAGGCGACTCTTCACACAGTCAGAGAGAGAATCAAAGTTGTGTATATAGGTAAACCAAAAAAAGTATAAATATGCAATAAATGTTATGTGAAATTATTCACAATCAGCACACAATTAAAGATTTACTTTTGTCCTATCATGGACTATCATATATGAGGAAGTATGCTAGTATAGTAATCGGACCTTGAGCCTCTTGATTTAATTCTGCAATATTCACGGCAAATATAGTTAAAATTTTATTTCGCAAAATAGACATAAAGGGTTATTTGAGTATTTTAAGAAAAAGAGTCTATTGATTTAAGTTAAATCAATACTCTTTTTCTTAAAATACTCAAATAACCCTTCATGTCTATTTTGCGAAATAATATGTTTGCCGTGAATATTGATGTCAACGAATATTCGAACATTCGAATATTCATTCGATGTGTTGATATTCGAATATAAATTTAAGATTCGAATATTCGGTGTTTTACAGATTTCTTAATAAATTTTGATTAACCTTAAGTCATTTAAGGTAACAATATAATTATTTTTTACCGTAAGCTTTTGTATTATGCATGCGTATTGCATTAGATTTAATCTCTAAAAAGGGCATTTTTTAAAAATTGAAACAACGTTTTTGTCTTGATCAGGTGAGCGTTTGACAGATGACCAGGTGGACACAATCATCCGAAACACAGATTTACAGGAAGATCTGGAGGGAAACGTCAAATATGAGGGTACGTTATATAGGGTAGTCAAAGTGAAACAGAATATCAGAGCAAATCTAGCCAGGGACAGTCAATTCCGATGGGTTTATATTAATGTTCCTTCTCGTTGACCTGAAGAATTATTTCGCTATTTTCGTTGTATTTATAGAAGTGGAAAAAATGTCCATTCAATGTAGAGCCCATTTTCGCTAGCCAAGTTTTCCGATCCGAAATCTACTCCGATAGGAATATCATGTTGTAAATTTTGAATTTACTGGGGGGATGTTGTAAATTTTGAATTTATTAGGGGGATGTTGTAAATTTTGCATTTACCTCCCCCTAGTAAATTCAAAATTTACAACATGATAGGAAACTCATTCTAATTGGCTTGTGAAATGTTGTAAAACCCTGTATCATTGTTAGTTTTCTAAAGTTCATTTATTTATTTTGCAGAATTCATCAAGAAAGTGATGGCCGGACCTTACCCCGACTAGACGTTATTGAAAGAAATCTTTAAAATAACACATATTCAAAAAACATTTACAATTTTATACAGCAATGGTCATTAACTTTTTCACGTGGAAGTTACAAGTCTCATTGGCGGATTTTCAAAGGCTGGATATTGTGTTTCTGTGTGTTACTCCGACAGACTGACATTTTTGGAAAACTGTGAAATTCCGAACATGCGCACTGGAGATGTTTTAATCACTGGAAGTGTTATAAAAACGAATGGATTTTTTTCCCTTCATTTTGTGATCCACTTTGGCGTGTTATTTAAATAAATCTGCTTCTTAACGGATAACAGTTCATCAATCATTGCGTCACGTGACTGTTTTGTACAGTTTGTTCGAAAGTTGACACGTATAGAAGAATGGACATCCTCTGCTGAGTGAATATCGCACTATCCTTTTATAAACTTAGCTCTCCTCAAAATTTATTTTTTTTAAAGTGTGTTTTAAAGAAATCAAATTCATTCCAAGAAGGACATGGGATTTACCAAAACTGATAAAGAAGCTTAAACGATGAATTGACATATTTTGTATTTATATGTAAATTATAGTAATATATAGATTAATAATAAAATGCTGCACTATTTCTCGGTGTTTTTTATATGAGAAAAGGAACTTGTCATATTGCCGTGATTTCATATTCTACATGTAGAAGTGCTGCATAAAAGAAATTAGCATTTATTAAGATGAGCGCAATTTATTTAATTGAAAGAAAAGCAACCGGCAGCGCTGTAGTCGTCTACAAGTTAGACCAGCATTAGATATTTCCTTAAATTTATTCAGAACTCGATCTATGAAGATCTTCGATGCACAAATGTAGCGGTCTCACTCTGTGAAATAAAATTTAGGCTAACCAGAGAACTACAAATCCACGTACTGTGAAAAACTGCGACACCTTTTTGTCGCAAGTGTATTTTGCATCACTCGCATTATGCGTATTACCCTGCCCAAAGCATGTATCTGTTACAGGCGCGGATCCAGGAATTGAAGTTGGGGGGGGGGGGGGGGCAGAAGTAGGCAGGGGGTCCAGGGCAAAGCCCTGGTGAGGGCCCAGGGGGCGAAGCCTCTGGAAGCTCCTGGATTCTAGAGATTTTGTAGGGTAAAAATGAGGTCTACCGAGTAGACATTTTTTTTTCATTTTCTTGACGAAACTGATTTACGCTAACTTTGACAGTTTTAGGGGGGGGGGGGGCGCCGGGTGCGCCCCCCCCCCCTTAAATCCGCCACTGTGTTAATAGAATATATATATTTTAATCCTATTCTTGTTACTTCGTTTACCTTCCCAGGATTCCTAGCTGCACTCTGTGACGTTGAATGTGCGATAAAGGGGCATAACTCTAACCAGCGTTTTAGCTGCCAGTATTGTGGGAGTTCAATAAGCAAATTTAAAGAATTTTGGTCCCCCGCTTTCGGTGTCTTAGTGGATGGGATGCCATTATTTATGGCATATTGTAACTGTCTTGTTTGTGTGTCTTGTCTTGTCTGTGCATTATACAAAAAAGACATGAATTGTTGAATAAATAACAGTTATGGCAAAGATTATAGCTTCTCAAAACTACATCAAACTTCAAGATCAAGGTCATGAGGTGAAATATAATAAAATCCGAAAGGTCTTGTCACAAGTAATACAAATGAAAAAATATATATGTATATAAAAACCAGAGTACACAATCTGAAAGATCTTGAAACAGGTAATGCACATATTAAATGTAAATGCCATATTTTCTCTCAATCAAAAGTTATTAGCAATGTTAAAATTTTTGAAAATTAGGTCAAACTTCAAGGTCAAGGTCATGGGATTTGATATCATAGTATATTTGGAAATGCTTGTCACGGGTAATGCACATGTCAAATATGAATTCCCTATCTTTGCTCCTTCAAAAGTTAGCAACACTGATGAAATAATTGAAAATTAGGTCAAACGTGAGGGTCAAGGTCACGGGGTCATATATCATAGCACATTCAGAAACATTTTGACACAGGAAATGCACTTGTCAAATATGAACGCCCATTCATGTGCCATTCAAAAGTAATCAACGAAATTTAATTTTTTGAAAATTAGGGCAAACAGGGTCAAGGGGTCAAAAATCATAGCATGCATGGAAACACCTTACCACTGGTAATGCACATGTCAAATATGAAAGCCCTAACTATTCTCAATCTAAAGTTATAAGCAAAAATAAAAATTTTGAAAAGTAGGTCAAAGTCATGGGATCAAAAACCAAAGTATATTTGGAAAGGTCTTGTCACAGGTAATGCATATGTATAATATGAAAGCCCTAATATCTTTTCTCATTCAAATCGTATGACCAATTTAAAGTAATGTTAAAATTATTGAAAAGTATGTCAAACCTCAACGTCACGGGGTCAAAAAACATAGTATATTTGGAAATGTCTTGTCACAGGTAATGTACATGTAAAATATGAAAGCCCTGTCTCTTCTCATTCAAAAGTTATGTTTTTGTGACAGACAGACAGCTAGACAGACAACTAGACTGACAGACGGACAGACTGACAGACGAATGAGATTTAATGTCCCCTCGCTTTCGCGAAAGCAGGGGACAAAAAAAACTGTCGTAAATAGGAAAACTGAAGATGGATGAATCTGTTGCTCTGTGATATATCTGTCCGCGAATTTCATCTCCAAGAGCCTCTAGTTTTGTAGCTTGTTGTACGAACATCTTAGAATTAAGGAAACAGATCGTCAAAGACTTACAGTGTATCAAAAGCACATTTATATATATATATATATATATATATATATATATATATATATATATATATATATATATATAAATACTATGAACAGAAAATCTACCAAAAACTGTATTGAAGTACTTGTAGTATACTTATGTCCTCAGGTTGGAGGAATAAAAAAAATTATACCCCAGTTTTATTCTGTCGAATTAAAGCGTTCTAAAAGGTCTGTGTCTTAAGGAATTGAGGAAGATACATATATGGTAAAATTAATAATCAATGGATAAGACATTAATTATACTTCAAAGAATATAGAAGGTGACCACTGATTCTTCATCTTAATCCCTAGTCTGAGGAACAGTTATCCTTTTTGTTGACAATTTCTGTTAACTTTTGAATTAGTCACTAAAAGCAGTGTGTATTAATGTATGTGTGAAGGATAGAGAGGTTTATTTACAAACAGAGGACCGAGGATAGTAATGCGCTGATTAATCTAATAAATTAGAAACCACGATCATGCAGTGATAATTTTACTGGAAAATATGATAGACAGACAAAGTATTGGTCAGACATATGGTTGACTGTGCCAGATTGACAGATATCCTATACATCAGATTATAGTTTCATTTTTGATTTGGAGATGGTATCTCTTCAGACAGAGCTTCAAGCTGAACTGCATTAGTCCATTTTCTTTACGAGTGTGTTAGAAATAGTAGGGGTCAAGCTACTTTGAATCATACAAGGACGGTTATCGCTTCTATCACCATGAATAATGCATAGTGTAGTAAACTGATAGACCACTCTCTGACCACGGAAGAGTTTTGTTTTAGTGGTGTTGAGCTGGAGGGTTACAATGTTGATGTATACATGTAGCTCCAATCGCTGCAAATCAAGTCTGACTTACTTCGCCCAGGCACTGTCCCGTAGTACTATAATGTAATTTTGCGGGAAAGTTTTCTTTTTTAACATTTATTTAAAAATGAATTTGATCTTTTTAAAAAGAACTTAGAGTATTTTTATGCAAGCCATTTTTATTTTTTTTAAGTTTGCAAAACAATTAAAATCAGCTTCTTTTTTTGGTCTTAGTCTTAAGTTCTTTCGTTCCTGAATCGTGAATATTCATTTTATTGATATTATAACGGAATTGGACACAAGAACTAATGATAACTTAAGTATTCCTCTCCACATGTTCTCTATTCATGTATTATGACATCTGCGTTTTTTTTTTTTTTTTTTGTTAAACATCCAGGGTTAAAAATTCAAATCATGGTCATAGGAGAAAGATTTCATAATTTATTCACAGATTGAAAACGAAGTTGAAACTGCCCTGACGCAGAAAGAAACAATCAATTCATCCCCTAGAAATTGGACACATTTACAAAGCATGCTTTTTCCAGCTGTAAACATCTATCGGAGCCAACAAATAAAAACAAATCTGTTGTTTTTGTTTGTTGATAAATCTCTTTTTTGCGTACAGTTTGCCAGAAATTCATTTACTGAATTCAATTACGTAATAAAATATTTGTTGATTTTATAAGATGTGGCGCATATTACCCAAATAAAATAGCTTCATGCATGCGCGTGCGGGGGATCAAGTATCAATGAATTCCCCGACATGCGCCCACGAGTCTTCGATCTGGTATTAATTATCTGCAGGAGGAAGAGTTCATTTTAGGTGGCTTTTCGGAATGTCTCGACATCGATACAGTGTTGCCATATGTAGCGCCCCCGACAGGGGGTCATCACGAGCCATCACCAGGTGGTATTCCATCAACGGTAAATCCCGAGACCATCTCCAGGTGGCATTCTGTCAAAGGTAAAGCCCGAGACGTTTTTATCGGGGAAAAGATACCAAAATCTTTGTGTTGTATTTACAAAGAAACATGCACTTTCCAATTAAGATATAATCGGTTCTGAGGTCACCTATTATTAAAACAAAAGACGCAGAATCATTTCCAGTGTGTTCCAAGTCGTGTAAACATACCGCCAGGAGATATTTTTGACTGCAATATTGGTTCCTTCCGTCCCGCAGTCTGCGCAGTGCAGCAATACATTGCAGCCCTGCCATATATGTCATAAGCCCCATCTTTTTTTTTAAAATCATGACCACTAAATAAGAATTTCATAAACAAACTAGGATTTATGTCATTTTTTTTTTTAAAAATGCAAGATTTTTTTTTCTTTGCAAAAAAAACTTTCGATCCATGCAGCGAAAAAACTTCTTTTTTTTTTTAAACAGGTAAAACTATGCCTAGACTTACTATTTTTTAATGTAATCTTTTATAAAAAAATAAAAGCTATATTCAACAATACTACGCATTTACTAATTGTAAATTGTGAAACGCAGATAAAAAGATAATTATGCTAATTAATAACGCTGCGCCAAAACACATGTAAGGGTACACTCCACCCCTTTCTGTGAAATGAGATCGCCCAATGTAGGTAAAGCCATAAGTGCTCGGAATGATCTACAGTTACTAGGCATTCCGATCTTGATCTAGAAGCATTCACATCGGGCAGCGGTGCGATAGATAAGCAAGATGGTAAGTAAAAACTGACTTTTATTTCTTTGTGTACTCACGTACTTGCCTGTTACGATTTACTTACAGCTCAGCATCGGCTTCTGTATGATTGATGATTTCGATAAGGTTTTTCTGTTTTACAGTGTACATGTCTTTATCAAGGTTACAGAGCTTGCAAGATGCGCACTAATTGTGTAAAAAATGAATGCATAAAAGAGGGGGGTTTGGGGCCTTAATTTCTTTTATATTTAAGTGTTCGCACATAGAAATAACTGAAAACTTACCTATTCTTTTTTTTTCATTTTAGATTTATAAATAAATGTACACATATATGTTCCATAATTCATTGCATGCTATCAAGTTTATC